TCTTCAATAATCTTGGCTGAAGCACCTTATATAAAAACCCCAAAACCCCAAAACCCCTTGAAGAACAATTTATGTTTTTTTCGGTTAGATAATTAAGGTGATTAAATAAACAGCTGCATAATTATTTGTGGTATTTCTGATACAATCATATTTTGACAATGCCAAAATTATGAGATTACTACTGAGTCTGAAACTTATCAGGAGTATGATTGAGCTATTATTACTAGGCTACACTTAAACTCCTTATGCCTTTTATTACTGGTTTAGTAACGCTTTATTGCCCAGTGAATTACAAATATGGTGACTGCTTCATCTGATATTTCATTTGAAGTTGGCTACCTATCTATGGGAAGCCTTTTTATAATTCCATAGTGAATTAAGACCTCGACTAAGGTTAAGGTGAACCTTGCATTACTCTTTAATTCTTTGTTTAAGAATTATTTCTAGGCAAGTTCGCCTTTTGAACTCTAGAATCTACAGTCATTGTTTTCAAAGTATTGAAGCCACTTGACTTCGAGAACTATGTTAAGACAGATTATTATGAGGCATTACTCTTTATATGCTTTTTAAATGATTAACTGAATTTTACTGGATTTCCACTAAATCCAAGCATTTTGGGACCTGAATAGCCAGTTGGACCTGCAGTATTATTCATCATTCCAATCCTGCCATCGATGAACAGTCCAGTCACACCTCCATATCCATTATTTAATCCCTCAGTACTTCCCAAATTATCTTTATAAACTACCCTCTCCTTTGATTCTTCAGCTCTAAGCATCTTACTCATACCTGCCATATTTTATTAACTTTCCGAAACCCCTTGATTTTTTCTTAACTTTTTTAGCTCCCTTGCAAACTATTATAGCTGTCTCTTAAAGCCATCGTTAGGGCAGATAAAATATCTCTACTTTTTCACAAACTGAGAAGCCTCATTGTAGCCCATACCATGCTCTTGCATTAGATATGCAATAACAATAGTAGCACTTCTAGATACTCCAGCAAAACAGTGGACTAATACTACTCCAGAAGCACTTATCGCCTCATTGATAAAAGAAAGGCAGCTTGAAAAATGCTAATGGAGATTGGCAGATGGTGAATCGAGTATGTGAATCTATTTATATTGAAATAGCGATGGATATTTAGGTGCTATTCCTTCAGCCACTGTAAGAATATGCGTAATTCCGTTTTTTCTAAGTGTAGTCTTATTATAGGCCCCAGCCATGTCTCCTAGCCATAGACCATCTAGGATTTTATTCATTGTGCTCATTTTACTTGACTATTGATTTTATGTTAATTTAATGAATTAGTTATTAAACAAATAGATTGATAATTATAACAATAATCACCTTAGTAAAGAATAATCAAACTCTGATTATCAATAAAATCTGACTTATATTTCAATTCTATTTCATATACCCTTTCTAAGTACATCTAAGTCTCTGATAATAGTTTCATTTTAAGGATCTAGCTTTAGTGCTTTCTCGTATTCTTAGATAGCATCGGTGATTCTATTTAACTTTGCTAAAGCATTTCCTCTTCTTACTGATACTCTAATCTCCATCTGATGCAATCTTTTCTTTTCTTCTGCTGGTTGATTTTACTCGTTCCTATTTTTGAAATTTTTAATAAGTCTAAGAGCATCATTGCATTCAGTCACAACTCTATCATGCTTCTCCAATGAAAGTAAACAAGCAATCTTGTTTACATATACAGCAATGTTTTCAAGGCTAGTAACTTTTCTAGTCAACTTAAGACATTTTTCGTAGAACTCCAAAGCTCCTGCAAAATTAGCTTGCTTTTGATAATCGTTGGCTTATTTATTGTACTGTTCGAACAACATAGTGTCCAATTTTTCTTGAACTTTTTTAAGAAGTGTCTTTGCCTCACCATTTTGTGGCTCTAAGCTGACAGCCTTATCAAGATCATCTTTTGCTTGTTCAATTTATTCAAGCATTTCATATGATTTCCCTCTTCTGAGTAGAACTTTCACTTCAAGCCTATTATCTCTTTAGAACGATTTAGTCTCATTCATAAAATGCTCTAAGATATCAAGAGCTTTAGTAGAATGTTCAATGCATTATTAATAATCTGATCTCTTCAAATGAATTAGACCAATGTTAGCGTGTGCATACTCATTCTTATCATCAAGTTTTAATGCCTCGTGATAAGATTGTAAAGCGCCATCAAGGTCATTAGAAACAAATTTTTCGTCTCCTTCTTACTTTATCGTCTATGATCTCTGTCTTATTTTTATTTTTTCAATATCCTATTAAATTTCGTATATTTCTAAATCGGTGAATATCCCTTTATATGTAATGGCTTTTGTTAAATCTTCAACAGCTTTATCAAACATCGAGAGCCATGAGCAGGCTGCTCCTCTCTTTACATACATTCTAGCTAAAAGTTTTTGGTAAAATTCATCTTCTAATTCAGATTCCTTCAATGCCAAAATTTAAGTTTCGATATCACCACAATCATCAACACAATTTTAAAATGCTCTCATCTTAATAAATGCAGTTGCTCTATTGAGTCTGCCCATTAAAAATTCCTTGTCAAATTCAAGTGCTTTAGTGTAGGCATTTGCAGCTGAGTAATAATCATTTCTCTTAAAAAAGTGATCTCCTTTATCCTTAAGCCACACTGGGTCTTTATCCTCAATATCAATGTATACATCATCCTTCTTTTTTACAATTTGCTTTGATTTTGGATAAGGTGGCTCCTTCAGTTATGACTCTCTAGCTGGAAGATGAGGGAATTTCTTTTCAGTGAATGGAACTTTGACATCTTGTTTATTTCTTACCTCTGGCACTACTGGTTCAGGCTCAACCTGATTAATTTATTGCTCAATGATTTAAGCTTCCTCCTCAGTAATCTCTTCAACATAACTATGCAGGTCTTTCTCATTTTAAACTGGGGGCTATTACTGACTTCTAAGATTATTCTAGAAATTGTAGTTTGAAGGTACTGTTTCTATTTCATCATCATCTCCAAATATATCTTTATCTTTGCTAGATTGCTTAAAGCTGTAGTTCTTTGTACTGCTCGTACTATCTACAATAGGAGCAGTAATCTTATTGATAGTTTTATTTTGGTTCTCTTTATTCTAGTGCTCTTGACCAAACTAATTTTACTACTAGATCTATTATTTCTACTATAGCAGCTACTTATTCTTCTGCTCTAGTGAATCTAATTCATGGTACAACTCATTTTCTGCAAGTTATTTCTACTCTTCTTTAATCTGCTTCAACTACTTTCTTTGATAATCTTCTAGTTTCATCTGCTAATCTACAACATGCTTGTCCATCTTGATTTTTAGATCAGCTGCTTCCTTAAACTTTTCCTCCTCTCTCTTGTAATGTCTATTCAATGACTCTTCCCTTCTCTTAATAAGCTACTCCCTAGTTAAGCCTTTTAGAGAGATGTCATCCCAGTGATGCTTTGCACTCTCAGCCTTCATCAAATACACTTCCAGTCCTTCATCCTGAAGAAAAACCTTATTCTTTATATTTTCATTGTCAATTAGATTTGCGAAATCAACAATGGCGATGTATCTGATACTCGTTACATTGATCTTAATGAACTCAGGGGTGTAGAGAACATCTACATTCTTGAGGAGGACATTCCTCACTGGAAAGTAAAGAGTGATAGCCTCATCAGTCTGAGTCCATTGAAACTTATCTTCCTTTCTCCTAATTATAATCTTGGTTGACATATTGCTTTGTAAAGTAGAGGCAAATTAAATTCAAATTTGTAATTATACTAGAATAGTTAAAGACATATTAAATCTATATCTGAGACTTTTATTTAATTAAACTATTGGCTTAGAAGATAATTAAAAAAGAAGTTCTATGTCTTAAAAAAATAATGATAAAAGGCTTAAATTACTTAACTCTTAAATTAATGTTATCAAATAAATTGGTAGATACTTGCTTATATATCAGAATTTAGATTATATACTGTTCTTAGAATTTTATTGACTACAGCTGCTGCTATTATCATTTTATAATTTCGTCATTATTGAGGATCATTTATAATGAATGGGTGATTCAGCAAATCTCCTGGTCTTGGTCTTAACTTTTTGTCATATTAAAGACACTACCTAATGAAATCTTATGCTTCAATTGATAGAAATGCTGGTATTGGCGGTGTTCTCTTGCTTATGATTTCCATAACAAGTTGAGGATAATTTTTAACCTCAGGCCAAGGGTGATTCCCTGTTGCCATTTCGATTATTGTACATCCCAAAGACCAAATATCTATCTTCCTTCCATATCCTTTTTACTATATCATTTCAGGGGCCATCCAATATAAGCTCCTATATAGAAGAATTAGATAATCGAGTTAAACTTACCCTTAGATTGAGGAACATACTTCAGATTAGGAAACACTAAGTAGAGATAAATTTTCAATAAATTTGGCTGCACCAAAGTCTGACAACTTAATATTGTCCAGGCCGTCAAATAAAATGTTTGCACCTTTAAGATCTGCATGAATAATGTGATTCTGATGTAAGTAATCCAACCCACTTAATAATTGTCTGGTGAAATGTCTGATTGCATTTTCATCCATTGACCCAAACTCTTTTATAAGAGATGAAATTGAACCCCCAGGCATGTACTCCATGTAGATATTGACATCAGTATCATTTATTATGCAAGAGTCGAGATAGTTAATTATATTCTTATGCTTCAAGTTCTTAAGTAATGTGATCTCTTTTTGCAAATTCATTTTAATCTTCTCTAGTTTTTATTCATACTACCCTTACTGAGAGATTTTCATCACTTTTACTGCTATCGTCTTTCCATCTTTAAGATTGAAGGCTTTATATACTTTCCCGTAAGCACCCTCTCCTAGAAGTTCGCCAATTCTTATATTTTCTGTCAATGGGCATGTTCTCTTAATAGAGTTTTTAGAGTCTCTTCTTATTCTTTCTTTCAGATCTTAATCAAAAGATAAGTTATCCGGTCCATAACTAATAAGTCCTTTAAAATCAGTATCAAAAGCAGATTTTTGAGAGAGAATTAACGATGAGGAGTCCATTAAATTAAGTCAGTGGAGATAATAAATTATTTATCTGCAGCACTTTATTTATTAAGATTCTATCTATATTCAAATAATTTTCATTATAAATTATATCTTGTCTAACGGGGTTTTGGGGTTTTGGGGTTTTGGGG